TCATCAGCAACAATTGCATATGCCGGAAATCCTGAGAAGCCCATGAAGATGTTCTTAGATTTTTCCGCAGTTCATTCTGTACTCACCATGACACGAGCATAAATGAAGTTTGAGTTAGTTAGCCACTTAAGAGTACCTGGATTTACCTCTACTGCTGAGCTTGTACCAGAAATGCTTCTCTCAAAGCCATTGTATCATGGCCCTCAGCTGGAAAACTGACTAGGTGTATGAGACAGTTGCTAGAAAGACAAGTAATCCACTGTACACCTTAGTAGCCTCAGAAAAGAGGACACAGACTGAATAAATAGTGAGATTAATCAAGTCCCTAGCAGTAGTGCCCTCAAATTAGGTCTCCTTTGCAAGGCTTACAAAAAGGCTTGCAGTACAATGTCCATTCTCTATCTGAGGCTTTATCTCTCCGGGTACTGTGACTCTGCTGCTTTTTGTCAGCATTAAGTTCACTTTAATCTTTTAAAAGAGGAATCAGGAGAGAGTCACTGTCAATGAACAGAAGACCAAACTTCTGAGTAACCATTTTCTTCATCTCTCTAAAGCCACGGAGCATGACATAATAACTCATAAGTTTGTGAACATCTAATAGAACCTACTACAAGGCTTGCTGGTAGCAAAATGTTACACTTGCTTCCGGTATCAATTTATGAATGCTGCTCTTAAGCTTTACACAAAGGAGTTGAGTATACACATCCAGAATTGACTGCATTAAATGCAAAATATAATGCACTGAAATTCCCTTCCAATGTGAATAAACTGAGTTAAAGGAGCAAGCTTTCTCAAACTGCACAGAAAGCACAGAAAAAAGAAAATGCTCCTTTTCTCTTCTACTAGCTATTGCAGGATTGCTCCCTCCTATTTATGTCTTGTTTTTTTGTCCAGTCTGTTTTTAAAAGTCCAAAGCTTTTCTGCTTCTCTAGGGAGAGGACTTCATGTTTTAATAGATCACTGTCAGGATTTTTCCTCATGCTAAACCTTAGCTTCCTTTTTCTTAATTTGAATTCACTACTCAGATATAAATTTCAGATTTAAGACTATCATATGAGCAATTGGGATTTTAAATACCTGAAACTGGAAAGATAGTTACTTCCTGACCTTACTGTTTCACTGGACTGCTACTCACACTCACACATACTGACTGACACATACTCACACTACACACACTCGACTGGTCCTACGTGCAGAATTCTCTTTCTGCAGAAAATATCCATGAATTAGCTTCTAGATGCCTAATAGTACAGCCTGCCTTCTAGGAGCAATTTCTATGTCTCTTTAACTTTTGCGTTCGGTATGTAGTAAATTATAAAGAGGAATGTGATATCTGGAATTTGCACGCTGAAATGTAAAACGTTTAAAATAAAAAATTAAGGAAAAAAACCTATACCAAATAGATTCAACACAGCAACATTTTTCCTTCCCCTGCGATCAACAGGAATGAGTACTAAGTAAGAATCTCAGCGCTGAGAGACCTCCTGCTCCTGTTTGGAGTATAAAGAGTCCTGTTTTATTATTCTAGATTTGCATGTGGCAGCAAATGCGTAAATGTTTTAATAATACAAAAAATCCCAATAGAGTGGAGGAGGAGGATCTGAAAGAAAGAAATACAAGGACATTTACTTTCTTGAGAGTGAGACAGAAAGGAGAAGAGAGAAAGAAAATGACATGATAAGGGACAAGCAAGTTTCCTGGGGTATATCTGGAAAAAACTAGAAGAGAAATCATTAAGAAGTCCATAGTGCATCTACGGTGATACAGTGCGGATCAATTCATTTAACACTGCCCCGTACATTTACAGAAAAGTACCTTTGATATAATAAAGGCTCATAAACACACAGAAATTGGGTTAGACCTGTTTCGAATTCCTGCCAAACAATGGTTCAGAAAAATGAAGCTCTATTTTAATTAGCTCGACTCATGAGTGATTTGATAACAGCAGATGCCGTCTGGATGC